GATAACATTTTTAAAATGTTTTTTTTTGTGTGATATTAAAGGGGGTCATATGATGTTGTGTTGTGATTATTTTGTGTATTTGGTGTAATGAAATGGGTTTACGCGGTTTTAGGTTAAAAAAACGCATTATTTTCCACATACTGTACATTATTGTTTCTCCTCTATGCCCCGCCTTTCTGAAACGCGTCGATTTTTACAAAGCTCATCGGTCTGAAAAGCGATGTGTGCTGTGATTGGCCAGCTATCCAGTGCGTTGTGATTGGCCGAATACCTCAAGCGTGTGACGGAAATGTTACGCCCCTTACCATACTGTGATGCCGCGATGAGACAAAACAATAAAACCCATTATAAACGAGGCATTTGTTGCATCCAGTGGGGACATAATTACGGATTATAATGACTTATACTGTCTTTTTAAGCGTTGCATTGCATCATGCCGCGTAAACATAAAACCATGTCTGCATTTGTGATCGGAGAAATGACAAACAACTACTCAAGCGCTACTCTACACTGCTCAAAACTCGCGTTTGAATCATGTGACGTCCCAGCTTAGGCTGTGCGTGCACTTGTGGGGTGTGTGTGTGTGTGTGTGTTTTAGGTGCCGCTTGGAGGGGGTGTGGCTCGCACACCTGACACTTGTTGGACACAGAGTTAAGAGTGCCTGGCGTGTTGGTGCGGGGCACATGGTTTGGGCGATCGTCTCCGGCATGGAGCTCGACGGTCTGCGTTGTGCTGAGTGTCCTGCCCGGCCCTGACTCGTTCCTTCGTTTATGTTACATTTATGTTATTTTTGTTGTGTTAAAATAAATGTTTTGCTAAGTATTGCTGCGTCTGGACTCCTCTTTGTTGCAGCCTAAAGAGCCGGCTGTAACAATCATCAGTGGCAAATTCTTTACATATGAAAACGTACTTACAGGCTGTGAGTGAGAACAGCCGTCATTGTAGGCTACTCTCCCAGGTTCAGGAAACACATCTGAATATTTGGGTTGAACTGTTCTGGAACAGTGTTGTAAATACAACTTAACCACTGATTTCTAGTTGTGTCCTCTTTTGGTAGACCAAACAAAGCAGTTTCGCTTTCACAACGAAACACACAGCGTCTTCATGACATGGCGGCAGCAACAATAATGTTACGCCTTCTTTCTTTGCGTGAAAATTTGGGCGGCATTATGCAAATCTTCCCACACAGTGACGTAGACATGTGGGGGTGTTTAAACGAGGCGTTTTAGGAGGGCGTGGACGAGTCTTAACTTTTATAAAGAATATCTCTTTGGGTTTGAGACTTTAGTCTTTGCAACTTTACAGACCTTCTTTATGCACCAAGAGCTTGTAACACTCCAAAGAGAAAGGAAAAATTGAAATCGCATCATATGACCCCTTTAAAAAACCTTTGACTGAATGGTTCTTTGTGGAACCAAAAATGGTTCTTCTATGGCA